GTAAGGACCCTGACTGATGAAGTTCCTCTCGAACTTCTGCAGGAACTCCAAGTAAAGAAGATCGTCCGAGGTGAGCGCCTCTTCTCCCACCACAGCTTTCATGGCCTGCACGTCCTTGCCAATCGCATAGCATGCGTACAGCTGGTTGGATACGTCAGCATGGTCCTTCCGTGTCATGCCTTCTCCAATGGCAGACTTCATCAACCGTGACAGTGAGGGCAGTACATTAATAGGCGGGTAAATCTGTCTGTTGTGCAGCTGTCTGTCCACGTAGATCTGGCCCTCGGTGATGTATCCCGTCAGGTCAGGGATGGGGTGAGTGATGTCATCATTGGGCATGGTGAGAATGGGGATTTGAGTAATAGAGCCATTGCGACCCTCCACTCGGCCTGCGCGCTCGTATATCGTGGACAAGTCCGTGTACATGTACCCTGGGAGACCTCGCCGACCGGGGACCTCCTCTCTGGCTGCTGAAACCTCTCGAAGTGCTTCAGCGTAAGAACTCATGTCTGTCAGGATCACTAGTACGTGCTTCTCACACTGGTACGCCAGGAACTCAGCTGTGGTCAGAGCCAGGCGAGGGGTGATAATCCGCTCAATAGTTGGGTCATTAGCCAAGTTCAAAAAGAGGCAGACGTTGTCCATAGAGCCATTTTCTTCAAAGTCAGATTTGAAGAACCGGGCGGTTTCCATGTTTACACCCATAGCAGCAAACACAATTGCAAAATTCTCCTCACTGTAATCTACTACATCTTTGGATTTCTTTACCAGACCAGCCTGGCGACAGATTTGAGCTGCAATCTCATTGTGTGGTAACCCTGCAGCAGAGAAGATGGGGATTTTCTGCCCCCGAGCAATACTGTTCATGCCATCAATGGCAGAAATGCCCGTCTGAATCATTTCCTCTGGGTAGATTCGACACTGAGGATTGATTGGCTGACCCATGATGTCCAGGAGTCTTCGGCCAGCACAGAAGGACCCTTGTCAATCGGTTTTCCGGATCCATTGAATACTCGACCCAGCATATCCTCAGACACTGGCGTTCGAAGAATATCTCCAGTAAACTCGCAGGATGTTTTCTTTGCATCTATACCTGAAGTCCCTTCAAACACCTGAACCACTGCTTTGGAGCCACTGATTTCCAGGACCTGCCCGCTCCTCTTGGTGCCATCGGGTAACGTCAGGTGGACAATCTCAGAGTACCTGGGGAACTTCACATGATCCAAGATCACCAGCGGACCGTTGACCCCGGATACTGTCTTATACGTGAGCCGCGGCTGGGAGAGGTAGTTCCTGCTGACGGCCAGCGCCTGCTCCCGAGCTCCGGCCCCCGGCCCACTGGTGGGCACCGGCAGCTCGGGTGCGGCCCCGTTCACCATCCCTCGCATCGCCCGCAGCACCATCTTGTCTCCTCCGTCCCGACTGGCCTCTCATTTTCTTTTATACAATTCTTAAACAAACATTTACTTTAGAGAGAGTATAGCAATAACTGATATGACATTAGAAGCAGTACACATTTAGAAGACTAAAACAACAGACATTTCAAGCATGGTTTTAGTATTATACAATGCTGTCCTCACTGTAGTTGTTTAGTTCACAAATGTCAGCATATAGAGTTAGTCAGAGTAAGAATTTTACCCATTAGCTGCTATTTTCAAAAACCTGATGGAAATGCTAAGAACCACTCCCTTAACCATCTTGTTTACATAAATGTGTGGTTTTTGCCCCTGCCACACTTCCTAACTTCTTTCTTTTCTCTTCCTACATTATTTAATCCTTAAATTCTCTCTTTCCATTTAACTGTGTTATAACTTTCAATTTTTATTTCTTCTTTTGAGTTCTTTCACTAGGGAAATAATACAATATTTACATATGTGGGTCTGGTTTATTGCACTTGAAAGAATTAACAACACTTGAAGGAATTAACAACTGAGAAGTTTTTGCATGTCAAAAGAAATTACCAACAGAGTGAAAAAACAACCCACAAATTTGGGGAAAAAAATCTTAATGAATAAGCACTCAGACATAGGTCTTCTATCTAGAATTTATAAAGAACTGAAAAACATTAGGACCCCAAAATTTAAAGTAATTCCAGTTTTCCATCTATTGTGTAATTTATGTTCTACAAACTTTAGTTGTTAAACATAACATTAAGGTGGGAAAAATTAAAGCATTCCCCCTATTAGGATAGATATACAGCTACTTTCGCCTAATTCAATGAGAAGATAGATTTGTACTAATAGTGTTTGGACAGGAAGTCATGTCTGCATCTTGTACTATGAATAACTACTATGAAGACAACAATATGCAATGTATTAATTATTGTAACTGTCCTACTAACCTGTTTGAAACTGTCTCATTGCTATTTCTTTCTGAATAAAATTAATTTAAAAAAAACAATTTTGTAAATTTATATCTGGTAATCTAAACAACTAATTTGAAGATAACATCATGTAGTACAGCAACTGTTGTTGAATACCTGGTACTTTATTTGATGAAAGTTTGTATTGTTTCTAATGCTTTTATATTTAGTGTTTTGTATTCTTTTAAAAAGAAAACTATTGGCAAGAAAGTGGTATTGTCATTAATGTGACCAAGTACATTGAGAAAACATTGCTACCTGTCGCCTACAGATAGGAAAAGCTATTGAGACTATCCTGCCTCTAAAATATTGTGCTTGAAATACTGAATTTTCAAATGGAATCAATGCCTTTAATGCTGGTATTTCTGTGTCAACTTAGAACATGATTTGGACACATGGATTTTTGCATAGTGGATTTGCCTACTAACTGTTCCTAAGCCAATCACAATGAAAATAATCAACTTTAGCTGAACACTGCTGACTTAAAAGGTATTCACACATTTTTTTTCTACAGTTTTATTGATAAACATATAGCAATGAGACAGTTTCAAATCAAATCGGAAGTACAGTTTCAACAAATAATACACTGCATATATTCTTC